TAACAAGTCACTCAACCTGGGGGCAGGCTGCTCATTTTTAGTTATTGTGTCTGCATTGGCACATACTTGTGAATGCAGGTACTCACAGAGGTCAGAAGAGGGCTGTGGGTCTTGTGGAGCTGGAGTACAGTTGGTCTTGAGCTGCCTGCATTGCCTGCTGGGAACTGAACTCATGTCCTCGGCAATAGCAGCTTGTGCTCTTACCAGAGTCACTGCTCACCATTTATGTTTTGAGGTAGGACCTCACTATGCAGTAAAATGTTGGGCAGAAATTTCAGATTCTCTTACCTTGACCTCCCACATGCTGGGATTACAGGTGTACAACTCCCAGGACCAACTCTAAAGGAAGCCCTGAATACTGCATGCCCTTGTATTTAACCAGCATTGATGGGAAATCCCCCCAATTTTTACTGTTATTTCCAAACTGCTCTACAGAGAGCATCTGTGGACGATTCAGGGTTCCTGTTGTTCTCATGCCTGTTCTTCTCCCACTTCCTCTTCCTGTGGAGACAGTAAGATCAGAAGTCATGCAGCATTTGTGGTTTCTATTAACTTAGACTTGGGATTTGAGGGAGTTCCCTGCCAGTCTTCCAGTGTTATCCATAGAAACTTTTTATTTATCTATGTAATTGCTCTATTTCATGTATATGTACATATGTGGAGGTCAGAGGACTGTTACATGATATTTCTGGCTCTGCTGGTCCCACCATACTTCTCTGCCCCAAAGAAACATGCACATGCTGTATTAGTTATAAATCTGTTGGCCGGTGACTAGGGTTTCTTATTGGCTAGCTCTATCTTAATTATTAATCCATTTTCTATTACTCTAAGTATTTCCATATGGTCTTATCTTGCGAGGGAATGCCAGACCTTCAACTCCTTTGCCTGCTTCATCTTGATTGCTCAGCATCTTGGCAGAGAAGAGAGCGATTTCCTGTTTGTCCCTGCTTATATTCTGATTCTGCCCAGCTACATCATTTCCTGCCTGTCTGTATACACCACCAGATCTCTATGGTTAGTTAGCTAGTGGTAGTTTCTGCCAAACTACGTCACTTCCTGGGATCACATGATGACTCCACTCTGCCAGAATCCCCCTTGTCTCCTAGTCCTACCTATCATACTGCCCAGCCAAGACAAACATACACAGAAGAAACTTCCCCATCAGAGGACAATTTCAGGGTGACAAACTTAGCGGCAAGTACCTTTATCTGCTAAATGGTCTCGCTGGCTTCTTTCTCTTTCTCCATAGATAGAGTTGTCTTCCAGGCTTGCTCCCTAGATAACCTAGAACTTCTGATCCTTCTGCTTTATCTCCTTACTGAGTGCAGGGATTATAGACATATGCCAACTCTCTGGCTAGCTAAGTTTTCTATGTGAGCGTCCGAAAAACTATAATCTACTTGGAATCCATTTAGGAAATTTTAACTCAATGAATGAAAACATTAAGATCTGTAAAGACACACTCATAAGCACAAGCAGCTGTATGTGTAAAGAATGAAGGGAATGAGGACAAGGACAAACGTACCTGAAACTTCCTGTTCATTTGGGACCACACAGAGAAAACAGGATGGCTTCCTACTCAAAAATTCTCCTGTTGGTGCGCCATCACACCCCTACTTTTCCAAACAAACTGCATTTTGCCAACACCCTCCTTAAAAAGTACAACTAGGGCCGGGCGTTGGTGGCACACGCCTTTAATCCCAGCACTCGGGAGGCAGAGGCAGGTGGATCTCTGTGAGTTCGAGGCTGGCCTGGTCTACAGAGCGAGTTCCAGGACAGCCTCCAAAGGCACAGAGAAACCCTGCCTCGAAAAAAAAAAAAAAAAAAAGTACAACTAGGGCTGGCGAGATGGCTCAGAGATTAAGAGCACTGGTTGCTCTTCCAGAGGTCCTGAGTTCAATTCTCAGCACCCACATGAGGGCTTTTAAATTTTTTTTATTTTCTAATCTTTTTTTATTTAAATTAGAAACAAGCTTGCTTCACATGTCAATCCCAGCTCCCTCTCCCTTCCCTCTTCCCCCGCCCCCCACCAACCTCCCGAACCCCCCACCCAATTCCCATTCCTCTCCCCAGGGAGGGTGAGGCCCTCCATGGGGGATCTACAGAGTCTGTCCCACATGATAGCTTACAGCCATCTCTACTGAGATCCGATGCCCTCTTCTGGTGTGCAGGCAAACACGCAGACAGAACACTGTTGACAAAATAAATAAATCTTAAACATAATAATAAAAAAGATACAGCTAAAAAGTAAAGGTCATGTTTCACTCCAGCAAGAACAGACTGGATGTTAGGAATAAAGCTAGAGGGGAACCTTGGCGGATCCCATGGCGGGTAAGAATGACCTAGGCAGAGGGACAACACGCCAGGCAGACAGAGCTTAAGTGAGAAGTTTTATTAGAAAGGGGAGGGGAGGAGGAAGGAAAGAGAAAAGAGGTAAAGAGACACAGAGACAGAGAGAGGACAGAAGAGAAGGAGAGTGTAAGTGTGTGTGTCCTTTGCATCTGCATGCTGACCAGGGTACTGCCTGAGTGCATTCTGCCAGGTGACTGGGGCAGGCCAGCAAAATGCCTATAATCTTCCAATTGGAAGCCATCAGTAAGATTGTAGAGCCAGCTTGATCCTCTTCAGTCACAATTTCCATCAATTCACACAGACATAGACACACCTGGGAAGAGGGAATGGAAAACTGAAAAATCGACTACATCATACTGGCCTGTGAGCATTTTCTTGGTAAGTGACTGATATAGGAGGCCTGATCCCACTGTGAGCCATGCTATCCTCGGGGTTGACCTAGGCTATATAAGAAAGAAAGCTGGCTAGGCAGCGGTGGCACACACCTTTGAGCACAGCACTTGGGATCTCTCCCTCCCAAGTTTGAGGCTGGCCTGTTCTACAGAGTTCTAGGACAGCCAGAGATACACAGAGAAACCTTATCTCTAAAAACAAAAACCAAAACAAGAAAATAGCTTAGGTTTGCCTCTCTCCTGTCTCCCTCTGCCTGGCGATTTTTCTTTTTCTTTTCTTTTTTTTTTTGGTGTTTCGAGACAGGGTTTCTCTGTGGCTTTGGAGACTGTCCTGGAACTAGGTCTTGTAGACCAGGCCGGCCTCGAACTCACAGAGATCCACCTGCCTCTGCCTCCCGAGTGCTGGGATTAAAGGCATGCACCACCAACGCCCGGCTTGAGACAGGGTTTCTCTTTGCAGCTTTGGAGCCTGTCCAGTCACTCACTCTCTAGACCAGAATGGTGTCTAACTCAGATCCATCTGCCTCTGCCTCCCAAGTCTTGAGATTAAAGGCTTGAGCCACCACCGCCCAGCTTGCACCTACTTTTAGAAAGAACCACGCTGAGCCGTCAGGAGGCAAAGGCAGGTGGATCTGTGAGTTTGAGGTCACCCTGGTCTACAGAGTTAGTTCTAGGACAGACAAGGATACACAAAAGCCTTTCTTGAAAAAAACAAAAACAAGTAGATGGTGGTGGTGCATGCCTTTAATCCCAGCACTTGGCAGATCTCTTTAAATTCGAGACCAGCCTGGTCTACAAGAGCTAGTTACAAGACAGCCTCCAAAGCCACAGAGAAATCCTGCCTCAAAAAGCCAAAAAATAAAACAAAAACAAAACAACAAAAAGAAAGTAAGACTCAAGCCAGGAGGATCTCTAAATTCAAAGTCAGCCTGATCTACATATTGAATTCCAGGCTAATCAGGACTACATAGAGACTACGTGTCTTAAAAACAACACCACACACCCAATGTCACCCACATTAAACATATATTTATCTCGAAAACCAAAAAAAAAGACATACATTTAATGAATGACAAGATGTCTGGAGAAAATGACTCATCTCCATTCACTCAATTCACATGGATTGTGCACGTGTTACATGCGATGTCCTGTGCTAGATGAGATGAAATACAGAACATAAGCGTGTATAAACAGTCGTTTACAAGCTAGAAAAGGCCTGGAGCCACAACAAACCCTTTTTAAATTTTTTAATAAAAAGCATATTAAAATTGGTTCATTATACTCACACACAAAAATAAACCCCACAAAATACACAGTTAGGTTTTGATTTTTTATTTCATTTCAGAAGGCACCTATACTCTAGAATGGCTTATTAACATGAAAAAGGACACTTACTTATACAAAACAAAGAAAGGAGGAAAGGGCATGATTGTCAAAAAGGAAACATAAATTCCCAAATAAATTATCTTACAAAAATATCACACTTGCTTTTCCACTTTTTTACTATTGGTAAAAACAAAAAAAAAATTCACATTAAAACTTATCTATACGCTGAACAAGACCACAATTTTTTACACATTAAGTAAGTCAAATAAATATTTTACACAAATTTAAGTTTAAAAAAAATAGGTCAAGTATTTACCCTATATTTCTTTGGTCCGTTAAAAGACCATCTCTCAACCTGATATTACACTGGACTGTAACACTCTGCATGGTCCCATGTGCATGGCTGAGGCAGGGTACACATGGGTGCATGCTGTGCACATGTGAAGTGGCTAACACTGCTGTATACTTCTGTAAGCGGCTTCACCTTGAGGAATACGGACCCGCCATCCTATCTTGTCCCATACTGCCAGGAGAGCGAGGATGCTAACACTGGCTATCATAGACCCTTGCTTAGGCACTGTAAAACACAGAGTCCACTAAGGTTCCAGACCCAGAGACTACTGAACACAGGAGCAAAGTCGGCACACTCAAGGGGTCCGTGTAGGGAGGAGCAAGACAGAAGACAGACAACTGGACGATATTACAGAGCCCTGGCCATTAGCTATATTTTTTTGTTGTTGTTGTGTTCTTATGGCCTTTGGTCTTTTTTTTTTTTTTTTTTTTTTTTTTTGGTTTTACGAGACAGGGTTTCTCTGTATTGTTTCGGAGGCTGTCGATCCAGCCCCGCCTCGAACTCACAGAGATCCACCTGCTTCTGCCTCCCGAGTTTTTTTTTTTTTCTTTCTTTCGAGGCAGGGTTTCTCTGTGGCTTTGGAGGCTGTCCTGGAACTAACTCTTGTAGACCAGGGTGGTCTCGAACTCACAGAGATCGCCTGCCTCTGCCTCCCCCGAGTGCTGGGATTAAAGGCGTGTGCCAATGGCCTTTGATCTTGATGAAGATTTAATAATATGACATTTTTCCGTTCTAACCAACCAAGTTTAGGAAGAACTCTGGGAAAGTATGCAGACTTTTAAAGCAGGAGTTTGGTGTTTATGCTAAAAACAAAACTGAACTATAGTTCTGTTCACCTCATTCAGCTCACTTCTAATTAAAATATTACTGGTTTTATTTTTTTCGAAGTAGGTTTTCTCTGTATAACCCTGGCTGTCCTGGAACTGGCTCTGTATTCTAGGGTGGCCTTGAACTCATAGATCCACCTGCAACTACCTCCCAAGCACTGGGATTAAAGGCCTGTGACACCAACCCCTGGCCTCTTATTGATATATAACAATGCAAACTGGCAATACTTTCCATTTGGTGATCCAAGAAGTAAGCTCACCTTTTTAAAGTCAGATTCAACTAAGCTAGGCTGAGGACAGAAACACCAAACCCTCAAATCAAGGACAAGCCCTCACAAATGCTAAAACACCAGGACTTTCCATCCAGGATAGAAAAAGGAGCATCCGAAGTAAAGAGAGCCACAGGACTGGTCAAGCAGCCAATCAAACACCACCTCCCTGTTACTGGAGCTGATGGTTACTCGGAGCTTGACATGGCCACCTTCACTGTTGTTAGCAGTTCCTAGAGTCACCGCTTCGATGTCAAATGTGACAGTGGATCCAGAGGTAACTGCAGGCAACTGGTTAGTCATTTCTTTGCCATTTACAAACACTGCACCTAAAACATTAAGAGACATTCACCTGTGACTGAGAGGATTCAAAAAGTTTCTAGATTACTGATTCTTAGGAAAAAGAAACACTCCAGAAAATCAGGTATTAATAATGAATTTAAATAGAGATTAATCCCCATTCCCACAGTCAGAGCAAAAACTTGAGCTTCAACCATATTTCAGAATTCTGGTATGGGACTGGATTCTTCAGGAGAGACTGAGCTTCCTATGAGAAGTGGATTGAAATAATTCCACAGAGCTCAGCCCTCAGCAGCTACACAGCTTCCTACACAATAGACAAGAAACTTATTCTACCTTATTCGTCACAGAAGATTAAATGCTGGTTAGGAATGATTTAGTTATTTATTTTCCCCATAGATACAGGGGGAAAAATCCCAGATTGGCCTCAAATTCCCAAGTGCTGGGATTACATGTGTGTGCCACCATGCTTGGATTTTGAAAGCATAAATACTAAGGAGTGAGGGATTAAAAAGTACTTACTATATATGTGCAATGTGCATGTAAATGTGGGCTTGTTGGTTTTCTCTTCACACCTTTATGTGGGCTCCAGGATCAAACTCAGGTTGCTGGATTTGCATGGCAAGTGCTTTATCTTCTGGGCCAACTGACCAGCCTTAACTAGTTTGTGAGTGTTTTTTTTTGTTTGTTTGTTTGTTTGTTTTTTTCATAGCTGGGCAGAACTGTTGGTTGTTTCCCTCCTTTGTGGGCTTGCAACGTGCCTTGTCATACCAGTAAGTTAGTCCTTGGGAAAGTGACTTTCATTAAGGTCAGCTCCAGCTATGAATCTGTTTTAAGGGCACAGTCATACATGGCTTACCATTGGTGCTGATGCACACAGCTTGGTCCCGCTGCAGAGAGTCATAGCCATTCTGCTTTTCTGCACACACTCCTATACTGTCTCGTCTGTCTGGCTGTCCCACAGTTTCAACTCTATAATTGAAGTAGAAAGGTCATTTCATCTCTTTTTTTAAATGTAACATGAAACAGGCGGAGGATAGGAGTTCAGTACCCAGCACCTACATCAGATGTCTCACCACCACTTGGAACTCCAGTTTCAAGAGATCCAATACCTTTTGGTCTCCACAGGCACTTTCACACACATAACATGCATTCATATACACACATACACTCTAACAAAAAAATAAAAAATCTTAAAAAAGAGTATGTTAGCCGGGCGTTGGTGGCACACGCCTTTAATCCCAGCACTCGGGAGGCAGAGGCAGGCGGATATCTGTGAGTTCGAGACCAGCCTGGACTACCAAGCGAGTTCCAGGACAGCCTCCAAAGCCACAGAGAAACCCTGTCTCGAAAAACCAAAAAAAAAAAAAAAAAAAAAAAAAAAAAGAGTATGTTAGCTGGGCTTAGTGGTTGGTGCACACCTTTAATCCCAGGTTTTGGGAAGGAGGCAGGCTGATCTCTGAGATCAAAGTCAGTCTGGACCATAGAGCTCATTCCAGGACAGCCAGGGCTACACAAAGAAACCCTGTTTTGAAAAAACCAAAAAACAAAACAAGGGCTGGAGAGATGGCTAATTGGTTAAAAGCACTGGCTGTTCTTCCAGAGAACCCAGGTTCAGTTTCCAGGACCCACACGGTACCTCACAGCTGCCTGAAACTCCAATTCCTGAGGATCTGACACGCTTATACAAAAATTAAAAATAAAATACAACATAATCCTCCCACCCCAATACAGGGTTTCTTTGTAGCTTTGGAGGCTATCCTGGAACTCACTCTGTGGATCAGGCTGGCCTCAAATTCACAGAGATCTGCCTGCCTCTGCCTCCCAAGTCTTGGAATTAAACGTCGGGCCTCTTCTTTTTCATAAACTCTAATTCTTTTTTTGTTTTGTTTTTTTCGAGGCAGGGTTTCTCTGTATTGCTTTGGAGGCTGTCCTGGAACTCACTCTGTTGACCAGGCTGGCCTTGAACTCGAGATCCACCGGCCTCTGCCTCTCGAGTGCTGGGATTAAAGGCATGTGCCACCAACGCCCGGCTTAATTCTTTATAATACGAGGTGCTCTAAATATCCAGAGTGGGAAAAGAATTCAATGTGGTTCAATTAAAAAAAAATTAGCTTTCCATTTTAGAAAAGTAGTATTAGGGCTGGAGAGATGGCTCAGAGGTTAAGAAGCACTGACTGCTCTTCCAGAGGTTCTGAGTTCAATTCCCAGCAACCTCATGGTGGCTCACAACTCTCCATAATGAGATCTGGTGCCCTCTTCTAACATGGAAGCAGGATGTTGTATTCATAAGTAACTAAATCTTTAAAAAAAAAGAAAAAGAAAAGTGGTATTAAGTAACAGAGAAAGCTGGCCGATGTGGCGCATGTCTTTAACCCCAGCAGTACAGAGTCACAGGCAGGGGGAATCTCTGAGTTCAGGGCCAGCTTGATCTATGGAGTGTGCTATAGGACAGCCAGGTCCAGAGAGAAACCCTGTGTGTGTGTGGTGGTGGTGGTGGGGTGGTAGTAGTAATGCACCAACCATGCATGGCTTACATATACAGGGCAAGGTCTCTGCTGCTGAGCTACACCCTCACTGTCTTCTTCATTAATATTAACATTATTATCACTTCTGAATGAATTTAAGCTCAAGCAGGGTTTTTTTGTTTTCTGTACAGATTTCATTTCTGCCATCACCAGGTATATCTTATTAGTTTCTCATATTCAAAAAGTAGTCTAGGGCTGGGGTACATTCAGTGAGTGCTAGTTAGCATATAGAAGACTGAGTTCAGTCCCCAGAACCCGACAAAATACACAAAACAGCATCATAATTCAGTATTTCCTAGAAAAGCCCAGTGAAGAAGCTGCTGCTAAGGAAGGTATTTTTTTTTAATATAGGGTGTGTCCCTTGGTAGGTTGCCCTTGCTCCAAGGGACGGTCCACACCCAGGTATACAGGCAGCACTAATTGGACTCTGGGATATTTAAAAACAAGAAAAATATGAAGTTGAGGTGGGACACGTTGGTGGGTAGTGTTGGGAGGAACTAGAGGCAGGAAAAGTATGGTATGATTAAATATATTTTATTCTGATTGAAATTCTCAAAGAATAAATAAAAAATACTAGTTTTTGGCCAGGTGGTGGTGGTGCATGTTTTTAACCCCAGCAGTACAGAGACAGAGGCAGGGGGATCTCTGAGTTTGAGGCCAGCCTGATCTACATATTGACGTTCCAGTACAGGCTCCAAAGATACAGAGAAACCCTGTCTTGAAAAACAAAAACAAAAAAATACTATTTTTTACAAATTGGTGTTTGAGTCAGGCACCACACACATGATAATCCCTCCTAGCACCAAAGAGGCTCAAGGTCAATTTAAGTTACGTAAGTAAGACCTTATCTCAACACAAAACAGAAATCAAGTTAATCTGTTTTTAACTAGAATCTTTGAATCTTGTCTGTTCCTTCATATGCTCTGTGGTGAGACATTACATAGTTCCAGGGAAGAGTACAACTAGGCTGGGATTTTTGCTTTGCTACAATGATAACCCAAGAGATACAGCAACCTGATGAAGTGGGCTCTAACTACAGATATAGGGACGTCACCCAGAGGAATTCTCCCCACACACTATTATAGTACAGGGAAGATAAGCCGAGAGGTTGCCAGTAGATCACTCATTCCCTGGCTTTTTTGTTTAGTTGTTGTTTTTTTCTAGGTAGGGTTTCTCTGTGTGGACCTGGTTGTCCTGTAACACACTCTGTAGACCAGGCTGGCCCTGATCTCAGAGATCCCCCTGCCTCTGTCTCTGTACTGCTGGGATTAAAAACACAACGGCCAGCTTTCCCTGTTACTTAATACCACTTTTCTAAAATGGAAAGTCAACTTTCTCGATTGACAGCAGAATTTTTTTTAAGTGAACCACACTGAATCCTTTTCCCATTCTGAGAATTTAGAGTACTTTGTATTATAAAGAATTAGAGTTTAAGAAAAAGAAGAGGCCTGGCCTTTAATCCCAGGACTTGGGAGGCAGAGGCAGGCGGATCTCTCTGAGTTCAAGGCCAGCCTGGGCTACAGAGTATTCCCAGGATAGCCAGAGCTACATAGGGACCCCCATCTTGAAAAACAAACTAACAAAATAGAAGAAGAAATGCCAGACATGGTTGTTTATTGTGCTATTTTTTACTTTTGGCTTTTTCGGGGAGCCTACTACCTGAAAGGGGTAAAATAAATTCAAAGGCTTCACTTCTAATAATTTAGAAATAAAGGGACCAGAGCCTCACTCAGCCCCCTGTATTAGTAGCCATGACTACAGAAAAGACAATAGGCCTCTGACACAAGGAAACTCCAGATCCTCTGGTCTCCCGGAGTCTAAGGCCAAAACTGAACACAAAGAAACTCCAGGACCCCACCCCCCAGCCTCCTAGATGCTTGGTTCCTGGGAACTGTTTGGCCACAAAAGAAACTCCAGAGAGGACCAAAATCTCCCCTGTAGTCTCCAGGATATAGTTCTGAAAACTATTGGTATCTACGTACAACAGGTCACCTGCAAATAATAAGACAATGCCATAGAAACCACAGAATGTTCTCTCCAATGAAAATAATTGGTACACAGATATTTCATGCCAAAATATGACTTTGAGAAATTCTAATTGTTCCCAAATGTCAACCAATCAGACGTAATCCTGTAACTTTTGTCTATAAGACCTAGCAGTAGACAGGGACTTTCACTCCCTCTGGAGGCTGCTGTAACAGCTAGCCAGACGGGGTCCTGGTCATGGGTGGATGAACAATCATTAAACCTTGCTTTTGCAGTTTAGTGGGTCTGTCTTCCTTTTGGTCTCTGGGGACTTTACAACTTGGGCACAACACTACCTGGCTCCCAAATAAATCAGACAAGACTTATTCTTAGTAGGAATGCCTGGCCTTAGCTTGGCTTATTCTTGACAGTTTTTCTTAATTTAAATTATCCCACCTATCTTTGGCCTCGGGGCTTTTATCTTTCTCTATTCCTGTATAGCTTTCCTTTCCTTCTTACTCTGTGTCTGGATGTGTAGCTGGGTGGCTGGTCCCTAAAGTCTTCCTTTCTCGTTCCCAGATCCCTTTTTCTCTTCTGCCTGCCAGCCCCACCAGGCTATTTTCAGATTCAGAGATTCTCCTGTCTCTGCCTCCCAAGTGCTGGATTATAGGTGTGAGCCACCACTGTCCAGCTCAACTGGTATATACTTATAATCCCAGTACTTAGGAAGAGAGTTTGAAGCCAGTCTGAGCTGTCTAAAAAACTGTCTCAGAAACGAAAAACAAGGGCTTGTGAAAAGGTTTAGTGGGTAAAAGTGCTTGCCTCACAAGTCTGACAACTGAAAGGGGCTGGAGAGATGGCTCAGAGGTTGAGAGCACTGGTTGCTCATTCCCAGCAACCACATGGTGGCTCACAACCATCCCTAATGAGATCTGGTGCCCTCTGCTGGCCTACAGGCAGAACACTGTATATAATAAATATTTAAAAAAAAGTCTGGCCGGGCATTGGTGGTGCATGCCTTTCATCCCAGCACTCAGGAGGCTGAGGCAGGTGGATCTCTGTGAGTTCAAGGCCAGCCTGGTCTATAGAGCGAGTTCCAGGACAGCTTCCAAAACAACACAGAGAAACCCTGCCTCGAAACCCCCCCCCCCAAAAAAAAAGTCTGACAACTAAGTTTGATCCACAGAGCTCACATTGAGGAAGTTGAGAACTTACTCCTAAAACTTGTTATCTAACCTTCACATGCAGGCCATGGCATAAGTGCACTTACATTCACACACATAATTTAAACATATGCGCTGTGGGATGATCTTTCTGTATGCTGTGAATGTGTATTGCTATAAAGTAAGACCCTTACTGAGGAGTGTGAGGGATGGGGGATCTACCACAAGAGAGCACTGAATAAATTCACACATCCCAAAGCCTCTGGATGTGGTAGTACTTGTCACAATACTAGTACTCTGGAGACAGAGGAAGGGA